ATTAAAAGCTAATCTAGGTCGTTTACGAACATTTATTCAACAAGGAAAAATCAAAAAAATTAAGTATCTATTGACTAATCAATCAAAACAATTAAACTATTTCCTGGAACAAGAATTTGATGGATGTGCTTATGCCACAAAATTTAAACAAGAGAAAGTTTTACGTATATTACATGAATATGGTAATAATATTTATCAATAATTTAATTTTATTAACGTCGTTTTACATTTTTAGGATTTCCATTAGATGGCTATCCGAATACATATTCAATTACAGCTTTAATCATTGCTATTCGTCGTAATGATCTTACTTTTATTCGAACACTTATTGAACTTGGCTGTGATGTTAATCATTCTGTTCGTTCTTATACAATCATTCCATTACTTGAAGCGTACCAGATATGTAAAAATAAGCAGAATAATCTTTTTTTGTTTGAAGTAAATTGACGCTAGTGGTATGTAAATGAATGGAATATACATTTATTTGTTTTTTTCTTCGTATTCAATTAGACTAGTAAGAAAATTTTCCAATATCTTCTACAATCTGGTGCTTCACCAAATATTTACAATATACATCATATGCGTATTGTTCATTTAACAGTAATCGATGGTGAATTTGATTTCTTACACTTTCTACTAGATCATGGTAATAAAATACAAGAAATTTTGTATTTGTTTATTAAACTAAAAATTGAATTCATTTATAGGTGCTTATGTTAATGTAATTACATCAACACATCGTAAAAATTTACTTCATCTTATCTGTGATAGAACAGTTGAACAATCAACAGAAAATCTTCTTCAAATTCTTCGTAAACTTATTCAACTTGGTTGTAATATTAATCATCGAGATGATTGTTTTGAAACACCACTTATGTGTACATTACATCATGGTGGTAATCTAACACTTGGTATGTTTAGAATATCAATGATATTTATCTATATTTTTTTTTTATTTTTAGCACATGAACTTATTATTGAAGGTACACGACTTGATTGGAAGAATAATTTCGGTAATACTTATTTAACACGTGCTGTTCATTATGCATTATATGATCATGCTCGTATGGCTCTTTATGCTGGTGCACCATGTCGTGCAAGACAATGTTCATTTCCTTATATGAATCGTTATTATCAACAAGAACAAACAACTAGTGAAACAAGTCTTATGGATGCTATTGTTGATTATGAACAATTTATGGGTGAACTTGAACGTTATTTATTAAAACCAAGACAATTAAAAGATATAGCACGATTAATCATACGACAAAATCTTCATTGTCCATTGAGTAAATCAATAATTGAACTTGAAAATTATTTACCTCATTCCCTTATTCAATATTTAATGTTAAAAGAGATGAAAACAGTGTTAAACATTGAATTTTAAAATAAAATAAAATAAATAAATGTATACATTTTTTATTTTTTGTACTTCAGATAAAATGTCATTACCACAAAAGAAATTTTATCGTCAACGTGCTCATTCAAATCCGTTGTCGGATCATTCAATCGATTATCCTGTTCGACCTGATGCTATGGATTGGTCATCGCATTATCCATCAGTAATAAAATCTTCTGAACAATCACCTAATCATGAATCTTCCGTTTCTAATAAACGACGTAAAGTTGAAAATCCATTAATTGAATTTGTCGATATTGGTTGCGGTTATGGTGGTTTACTTGTTGCACTTGCACCTTTATTTCCAGATAAATTAATGCTTGGAATGGAATTACGTGTTAAAGTACTTGATTATGTTCTTGATCGTATTCGTGCTTTACGTGAACAATATCCTGGACAATATACAAATATAAGTTGTTTACGAACAAATGCAATGAAATATTTACCAACTTATTTTCAAAAAGGTCAATTAAGTAAAATGTTTTTTCTTTATCCTGATCCACATTTTAAAAAAGCTAAACATAAATGGAGAATTATTAATAAACAATTACTTGCTGAATATGCTTATTTATTACGTGTTGATGGTTTAGTTTATACATGTACAGATGTATTAGATTTACATCAATGGATGTGTTCATGTTTTGAAGAATTTCCATTATTTGAACGAATCGATAATGATGATCCAGTACTTAAAAATGATCCATGTATTGAACATGTTGTTGGTTCAACGGAAGAAGGAAAGAAGGTCGAACGAAATAAAGGTGATAAATATTTGGCTGTGTTTAGACGAATCGAAGATCCATATATAACTAAATCTTCTGGCTCATAGAATATACATATCATGATATATGTATAAAGATACTTCGTTCAAGAAGTTCTATGGTTATTTTTTGTTTTTTTTATATTTTATTTCTGTTTTGTTAAAGATAAAAGAAAACCGGTCTTGATGCAGAAAAAAATGCTTTCATTTATTTGTAACAATGTGTATGAAAAAGAAAAGTATATATACAATATCAAATCTAATCAGTATTAAGTAATAATTTGTTTTACACGCTCAATATTATTTCGTACAGCTTGAGTATCAGGATGATTAGCAGGTAATGATCGTGAGAAAATATCCAATGCACGTTCGAAATTTGACAATGCGTTAGAATATTCTCCTATTTTTTCATAAACCATACCAATATTAGTTTGTGAAATAGCCAAATCTGGATGAGTTGATGAAAGAGATTTTTGTCGAATTTCCAAGGCTTTCTCATGATATGATAATGCTTTTGAATATTCTCCTCTATGTTTGTAAACAGCGCCGATATTATTGTATGTAGTAGCTAAAGATGGATGATTGGAAGGAAGAATTTGTTGAAAGATCTCACATGCCTTTTCGTAGAATGACAAAGCTTTCGAGTATTCTCCCATGTTGTGATATACCACACCAATATTATTATAAGAAGTGGCTAAATGAGGATGATTTGAAGGAAATGTCATCTGACTAATCTCTAATGCTTTTTCTTGATACGAGAGTGCTTTTGAAAATTCGTTCATTCTATTACATATTTCACCGATATCAATATAGGAAGTAGTTGAATCCGGATGATTTAAATAGGAGTCTCTTGGTAGATTTTTTTCTCTAGAAAAATTGTTTCGTAAAATTTCCGTACCTTTTTCATTGAACGATGCTGCTTTCGAATTCTCTTTCATCTTCATATAAACTGCAGCTATCTTCATATAGATAGTACCCAATTGAGACTGATCTGATAAGGGTATACTTTGTATTATTTCGCTAGCTTTTTCATAATAAGAAATAGCATTTTCATAATCACCGGAAGCATCTCTGATGTCACCAATTTGTTGATAAAATATTAATTTTGCCTGCTCATCATTAGTTTGATTGAGTAATACTTGATATAATTCTTCGGCCTTTTGAAATTGACCAATCTTAATCAATAATTTACCTAATCGTTCATATCCTGTTGATCCTAATGTTTCTTGTCGAATTTGATTAGTAAGAGTGCTCAGTTGTTGATCTTTAGTATTGGTTAATTCGAGTTTTACTTGCCATAGACGTGTATTATCCTCTGTTGATTTGATCTCACCGATACGAAAAATAGTATGCATAGAGAAAAGAATTTCTCCTTCATCTTCATAGTAACTAATATTATCAATACGAGCAAATGGAGCCAAAGAAATCAATGGATCAATTTCAATTTCATATAATATGCCAATGGTATTCATTTTACCACTATTACTTTCAGCATACATAAAAGAAACATTACGATGAATACTTGTCGATAAAAAGCTATTGAATGACATAAGACCACCTTTTGCTTTCATTAGCTTTTTAAATTCTTCTTCCGGCAATCCTTGTCCTCGATATACAGTGAAAGATTCTTTTTGGTGTTGACGAAATTGTTGCGAATGCAGTTGTTCAGTTTGACGATGAAGATCATTTATAAAAAAACTCATCGTAATAATAGTATCAACTTCAAGATTACGTAGTGCTCGATTGAGCATCTCAAAAGTAAAGCAAGAGCGAGTATACCACCAGATAGACGATTTATCATTATAACCACGTTCAAATTCATCAACAGTCTCTAACATAAGAGGATTGGCATCGTATTGTTGACGACAAAAGGTAACGAAATCTTCAATAGATTTCTGGTTGTATTGATTTTTTAATAGAATTTCTTTGAATATTTCCGTATACATAAATGATGGATCTAATTGATTCAAATCTTGATCGCTTGCATTCTTATTAGGGGGAACAAAACTAACAGGAGTATCATTTCGATTGCATTGTTTAATATCTTGTTCTAGAGCTTCACAAATTGACAGGATTTTTGAATATGGACCTTTGACTTTGAACCATTTATTCATGTATTCACTAGTTATTATTTTCTCGGTATCGAAGATATAAATAGTATCCAATTGAAATATATCATGAACGAGTGGTATTAGTTCTTCACATAGACTACTAGATATAATTAAGAAAGTCTTTTCAATACCAATTTTGCTTAAAACATCGATACATGTATTAACATTAGTGTATGTATAGATAGTATTAACAATACGTCGAAGTTGTGTTATGATATCTTGATAGCCTATTGAAAATTTATTCATATTGGAATCTATCCAGATTAGAAAAAAATTTTGGATTATACGACGTCTTGGGTAACCATCATTGGTATGTGTTTCGAAATTTAATGGTGATGTGATAGATGTTAATATATCTTCTGCTGGATTAGTACTATTTTGAACGATATTTTTGCGAGTGAAACGATTAACTATTGTTGAGTCTTGACGGTCCATTTCGTTGTATATAACTTATAATTGATGGATAAAATTTACTATTTGGATTTCAAAAAAGATATAAAAATATGCAAGCTCCCGATCAAATTCAAAAAGGGTAAAAAGAAACGAAAAACAAGTACACGTGTCCTTTGTTGACAATGATTATATGCAAATAAAGGATGAATCACAGATGCAATCTCGTTCTGTACCGACTTAAGTATCGAAAAAAAAGCAATCTCTTTTATCTAATCAAATCTGTCTATTAGACCTATTCAGATTAATTTAGCAATTATAATACAGATTTGAATACATTTCAAAATAAAAGTTTAGCAAATTTATGTGTATTTAAATTTTGTTTATTACAATATTTTTGTTCGAGTATTTCTTGTTTATTTGTTTTACGTTGTGGTGGTTCATCTTGTCGGATTAATAAAGTATTTAATGAA